CTTTCGAGCAACGTGCAATGGCCACGTTTGGGCCCATGACAGATACTGAGACAGTAGAGCCCCTCCTAGCAATACAAGTAGAAACACAAGGAGTGGGTTTCTGTTTCACTTTTTGGATGATTGGCTTTGTAAGTTCAGTGCTGAGGAATTCTTCCTGCCTCAGGAAATGAATGTACTTAGTCTTGAGCAAGTAAATGTCAAATTATGGTCAACTGGGTGTGGAGAAGAGTTCTCATTGCCCAAACATCCTCAGGGAATGGAAGTCAAGGCAGTAACATAGTCAGCCATGCAGGTCTAAGATACCATGATATAAATTGTCTAGTCTCCGACGATATGGTTTGCAGAACAGAAATGAAATTTTTTGCTTAAAGTGTGACTTTCACAAATGGAAAATCAAGGCACAGCCTTGGTCTGTATTAAGCAGATATTCGAATGTTAAAGAATTCTTCAGGTGGCAAGTGTTGTTCCTTATTTATTAACTCCTTGCTGTGGCAACAGGTGCCTCACTCCCTTCCGATGGAATGCCAGCCCTCCAGCCTGGTCCCAAAGGGAGCATTCGTGTAAACAGCAACCTGAGAGATACTGAAGCCTTACGCTCTTATCAAATCCAATTTGGGAGAAAAAATGATAATTTGTGGAATTTTATAATCAAGATTTCACTTTCCCTCCAAATTGGTCAAGACATATATTTTCAATATGTATATTAAGGGAGGTTGTATTTCAGATGGCTGTACGACAGAGCCATCCTGTATTCCAGTTGGATATCTTAGAAGAAATAATTCTAATTGGACAATTGGGAGACTTCTCTAGAAAGAGCCCTGAATTTCTATCTCCTTCTCCTTCTCCCTCTCTGAAATAAATAAAAGTATATTTAAAATGGAAAAAGTAAGTAAATCAATAAAAATTGTGGCGGTACATGCGTTGAAAATCACTCTCTCAGTACTGCTGTGCCGGGTCAGCCTCTTTGCAATCCCACTCAAACCATCTCCTCCTGGGTTCAAGTTGCTCCCAGCTAATTTGTCCATGGCCTCCAGGGTGGAAAGGAAGGCTTTACATGCCCTGCACCTGAATTCTTCCTCCTCCTGCCAGTTCTTTGCAGGTAGAGATTTCTTCAAAAGATTCCTGCCGAAACCGGTTTGGCTCAGAGGATAGAGCGTCGGCCTGCGGACTGAAGGGTCCCAGGTTCGATTCCGGTCAAGGGCATGTACCTGGGTTGCGGGCACATCCCCAGTGGGAGATGTGCAGGAGGCAGCTGATCGATGTTTCTCTCCCATCGATGTTTCTAACTATCTATCTCTCTCCCTTCCTCTCTGTAAAAAAATCAATAAAATATATTAAAAAAAAAGACAAAAGTTTCCTGAGTTACTTTGAATTCTGACTCAATCTCTGTTCTTTCCTTTGCAAGTTTAATGTACTGTATGTCTCAAGAATATCAATTCCCCATTATGTGTGCTTTTCTAAGCTGCCAACTTGGTCTCAAAGTCTGGTTTCCCAGCTTGTGATGCAGGGGGAAACCCCTTCACACCCCAATCTCCTCAATCATCCCCTGGGTGTCCTCAATGCTCCTCCTCCCAATGGCTCCTCAGCAAATGGCTCCAGGAAGCAGCAGTCACAGTGCCCCACACCCACCCGGAGAGACAGGGGAGGAGGAGGACTTAACATTTTAAACTGCAGATTTTCCTTACTGTTTATTTTTATTTTTTCACTAGAGGCCCGGTGCACAAAATTCATACATGGGGGTGGAGGGGTGTCCCTCAGCCTGGCCTGTGCCCTCTCGCAATCCGGGACCCAATGGGGTATGTCTGACTGCCAGATTAGGCCCGATCCCACAGTTGGACATCCCTCTCGCAATCTGGGACCTCTGGTCCTAACCACTGGCCTGCCTGTCTGCCTGATTGCCCCTAACCACTCTGCCAGCCTTCCTGATCGCCCCTAACCATGGGTGGCTGCCTAGCTCCCTCCCTCTCAGCCGCAGGTGGTCACCTGGGCTGGGGTCCCTCCCACCCTCTTGCCCCTCCTTCACAACCTCAGAGGCTTCCTGGATCCTGCGGCAGCCACCTGCTCAGAGGAGCAGGAAGGTCCGGAAAAACGGAGGTCCATAATGACTTCCACTCTAGTTAGCATATTACCCTTTTATTATATAGGACTAGAGGCCCAGTGCACAAAATTTGTCCACGGGGGGGGGGGGGGGGTGTCCCTCAGCCCAGCCTGCACACTCTCTCAGTCTGGGACCCTTCAGGGGATATCCACCTGCCAGTTTAAGCCAGCAGTCAGACATCTCTCTCGCAGTCCAGGGCTCTCGAAGTCCGGGACCCCTCACTCCTTACTTCCTGCCACCACCACTGGGCTTGCCAGCCATGAGCCTGGCTTCTGGTTGAGCGGAGCTCCCTCTGTGGGAGTGCACTGACCTCCAAGGGGCAGCTCCTGCATTGAGCATTTGCCCCCTGGTGGTCAGTGTGCATCATAGTGACCATTGTTCCACTGTTCGTTCGATTTGCATATGCTTTTATTATAAGGGACTAGAGGCCCGGTGGACAAAAATTTGTGCACTCGGG